TAGAAAGAGAACAGCAGGAACAAACAGAAATCATATGTGGAAGGAAACAGTTCAGTTGGCCACACCAGAAGAAAGGCCAGAAAGAGGTAGAAAGTCTTGGGTCATCCTGGCTATTCTCTCCATTTGCAGGATATCGCCAACTCTATGTCCTCCTCAGTACATGGAAAAGAGAAAAAAGATGACTGTGTGTTTTGAGTAACAAGAATTAAACCATAAGGGGAGACTGTATAAAACTAATGCAAATTATACTCACCTCAGTAAACTGCTCACCATTTATGTCTAATAACAACCTATCACAATGACTACGTATATCATTAAATGCATATCAAAGCAAACTGTTTTATTTTTTATTAAAACACTAAGCTCTGTTCCTATATTCCTGGGCTTCATAATTTTTGGTTAATTAGCATGGCCACTTACAATTTTGAAAAATGAGATAATACAGTAAGTGTTAGAACTTGTTTGAAGGAGGTTACCAAAGATAATTTGTGTTTGGAGTGGATTTGATGTTGGTATTACATCAGTGCTCTGTGGAGATACGCGTTTCTGATGGTTTTAGCAAAGAGCAAGTGGTGCATTTGAGGGGGCAGGAGAGGCTGGGTCTGTGGTAATGGATAAACAGAATTTTAACTGAGGAGAAACTCCAGAATTCAGACAACGGAAGGAAACTGTAACCCTTCTATTTTGAGGCGGGAGAACTGTGGTTGCCACACTTTCTGTTTTATGATGTATAAATTGTAGACATTGACTGTCAGAAAATGTAGACAGCTAGTAATTTTCCAGGTAGACATCCCAAATGCCCTGGAGATGAGGAGATACTTCTGTGCAAGTTCTAAAAGAGGCCCCGAGGGCTGGAGTGGAAGTGCGGTTGGGGAGCATGTAAGGAATATGTGTCCTTTGGTTTAAGTTCTTTACTAGGGGGCGTGAAGGTTGCTGGATCCTTATAAGGGTATGTAAATATGACCTTATTGGGTAGCAGTGGTATGGCTTTTTAAAAAAACAATGGAAATTCAGTAAACCATTGGGTTAGAGTTTTGACTGCTTCCGATAAGCTACGTGAATCTTTATAGATGTTTTACCCTTCTTGTATTTTAATTTCTTTACATACAAAATGGGGCAGTAATACCCGCCTCACAAAATCCCTGTATATATTTTAAAAGCTCCCCACTAAGTATCCCAATGGCAATAAGCAATAGGGGAAGCATTAGGATCCAATATTTTCTACATCCTCACTAACACTTGTTATTATCTAACTTATTGTCTAGCTATCCTACTGCGTGTGAAGTGGTACTTCGTTGTGGTTTTGATTTGCATTTTACTGATAGCTAATCATGTGGAGTATGTTTTCATGTGTATCTTCCTTTGAGAAATGTCTATCAGATTCTTCACCCACTTTTAAATTGAGTTGTTTGTCTTTTTATTATTGGGTTGTAAGTGTTCTTTGTGTATTCTGGATTCAAGTCTATTATCAGACATATGCTTCGCAAATATTTTCTCCCATTCTGTGGGTTCCTTTTCCCTCTCTTGACAGTGTCTTTTGATGGACAGCAGATTTTAATTTTGATGAAGTCCAATTTATGTATGTTTCCTTTTGTTGCCTGTTATTTTAGTTTCATACCCAACAAATCATTGCCAAATCCAATGTCATGAAGCTTTTCCCCTGTTTTTTTCTGAGTTTTATAATTTTACCTCTTATATCTAACGTTTGATTCATTTGCATTAATTTTTGTATAAGATGTAAGCTAAAGATCCAAATTCATTCTTTGGCACGTGTACCAGTTTTTCCAGGTGATCAATTGCCCCAGTTTTTAAACACTGAGGATTGAAAACAATGTTCTATCCAATTGTTTCCCTTCTTTAAACTAATTATAAGTATATATCTAGGTTATGGAAGCAACAGACTAGAACAATCAAAAAACACAATATATAATGTTACCTTTTTTCAGACATATATAATCTTATACTTCTGGATTAAAATTAGGCATTGTGGTAGATTATACTATTGTTCACAAATTCACTGTCCCTCCCTGAAGAAGGAGAATGTTTTCCTATCCTTCTGACAGCAGTCTTGGCCTTGCCATTTGTTTTGGCCAATGAAATCTGACCATAATTTACCGTATTCTTTCCCCACTACCTTAAGACCAGGCAAGTCCCAGTTAGAGACTTTTCCATTAGCCTGTACTATAATGAAGACAACAAGGAATAGAGGGGCAACTGACCCAGGGTACACAAATAATAGGAATAAAATAAATGCTTGTTGTCGTGAGTCACAAAGATTTTTGAGGTTATTTGTTACTATAACATAACCTCAGCTATCTTGACTGATACAACAATGGAGAACAAGTAGTTAGGGAAAAAATACGCAATTAGCATTGCACAGTTCAGCAGTGTAGGCTATTTAGCATAGTGGTTAAGAGGATGAACTCTGGAGCCAGACTGCCTAGGTTTGGATCTTGGGCCCATAGGTACTAACAATGTGACCTTGGGCAAGTCACTGCCTATCTCTGTGCCACAGTTCCTTGGGTAATAATAGTAGTTACACTATGGAGTTGCTTTATGGTTTAAACGAGTTCTTCTGTGTTTAGTAGTAAGAAGTAAGTGCCAGACTTAAGCAGTTTTTCTTAGGCTGAGCTCCCCAGTAGGTTAAAGACTTATGAGCTATTACTTCATTGGGAAATCCAATCCATCAGAGTGGTCATGAGTGACAAAGGATATGAAGCAGAGGAGGCTATAAAACCAATAAAAAGATGCATTAGCAAGCTTGCTGCCACTGACTGCAAGTAATTGTTGATCTTTGGGACTACTCATCTTAGAAGATGTATAAACTGTGTCTCATGACTGTCCCTCAGAAGGGAAAGGGGGAAAAATTATCTACTGGCTTCTACTTTCATTGGTCAAATTTCATGCAACAAGGAGTAGCTCCTCAGAACTTCTGAGTTGTCCATGCAAGGACTTGGATGCCTAGTGCATCCTTCTTTGGAAAATCAACAAGGAAGTCCTAGGTCCAGATGTGAGAGGTGCTCCTGACATGCATAATATGGAGTATCAGTTGATAATATCATCATTACTGTTTGTGTTGTACATATAAACCAAGAATTTCTATAATCAATTTTTGGAAGTATTCAGCATAGAAGGAAGCTACTGTCTGGAGAATTTGGGGATAAGAGAGTTTGGGATTGGGTCTCTCCAGTGTTTAGCTACAGAGGTACCCTGCTTTGGAGTACGGAGTTCTGCATGGATAGTTCTCTCTGGTTTTAGTACCCAGCACACAGATAAGATAGGTCCTGTGTGTTGGAGCAAGATTCCTTAGAATGAGGCAGGCTCCTCTCTCCTGCTGAGAGTGCTATTTCTTCCCTCTCAGACATACAAACCTCAACCTCAAGTTAAGGAAAGTGTACAGTCACAGCTACACAGGCCTCCATCTCTTAATCTTCTTCTTAAGCTCTCAGCTTCTGTTAAGCTCTAGACATATTTCCCAAATATTTTGATTTAGCAGGAGGCACCACTTCCAGTTAGAGACACACATGTATGTAAATAAGTGAGCATTCCTGTATAAGAGAAAAATACATACATAAATAAATAAAGTGGGTGAGAAGTTGGGATTACTACACTCCTTAAGACACATAAAGGAAATGCAATTATTTTATTTTTACAGGCTATACAAAAATACAAAAATAACAAAAAGAATATTAAAAGGTGGGCAGTGAAAAGTCTTCCTCCCTTCCCATTCCATCTCTCCTTTCCCAGTACCACAGTCTCACAGATCACCACCTATTAGTTTCTCATGATGCTGTCTACAAGCAAATATGAATATATACTCATTTCTACTCCTTCCTTACTCAAAAGGCTGAATACTAAATTCAACGTGCTTCACTTTTCTCACTTAACAATTTAGCTTGGACATCATTTCTAATCATTGAAGAAAGAGCTTCCTTAATCTTTTTACAGTTGCATAACATTTTGTTGTACAGATTAAACATAATTTATTCAATCAGTCACCTATTTATATTCCATTCAGCTATTAATATTTTGTTATTACAAAAATGCTGCAGTGGAAAGAGCTGTGTTCCTGACATAAGACATGGAAGCACTAGTTGGGAACAGACTGCCCAGAGGAAGGGTGAGGCTGGCCGTGCTGGAAGTAAGACATGAGGATAGCTCTGTGGAAAGCTGAGTAACAGCACTGTGAACTTGGAGTTTGTAAAGGGAAAGGAAAGGGCAACCCAGGAATGAATGGGAGGACTGGAGCCACAGAAAGAGAGCCACAAAGAGGAATCAGGAAAGAAAGGGGGCAGGAGAGGATGAACAAATGAAGGGGGACAGGAGGCAGAGGGTGGGGTATCATGGGCCTTGAAAATATTTAAGAATGTGAGAAAAGCAGGGAGAGAGAACAGAGGCTGCCACTTCATGCCCCTCTCTGAACTCCCCTTCAGCCCAGGGACCCAGCTCTCCCTTGTCACTTCAGCTCCCAGCCCAGCAGTTCCATTTCCCGCCTCCTTTGTGGCAGGCAGCACAATCTGGGTGCTATCAGATGAGAGAGAATATCTCTTTACTTAGCCTTTCCTCCCAGATCCTGAGAAAGGCCTCAAATTAGACAACCACCCTGGGATTGTAAAAGTGCCCAGAATCATGGACTGAGTTCATTCTCTAGTTCTCTCTCCCTGTAACTCTCCACTGAGTTCATCCTTCTCTCTGCCAGCCAGAAAACATGCAGAGAAGTACTAAGGCAATGGGACTTTGGGACTGGAAATCAAGAGAATATATTTAAGCCAGGGAAGGAATAGGGAGCTTTACACAGCCAGAGGACATAAAGAACAACAATTTATGGGAAGATGATTCAAGAACATACAATCAAGTAGTCATCCAATTCTGCAGTCAGAGAATATTTTTCCTAGCCTTTCCTGTTCAGAAATCCAAATATTACACATATTATTTTTACATTTAATTTTTTAGTTTTATTGTGAAATGTATCATAGCTTAAGAAAAGTATAAATATACTTGTGTGTATATATATGTATATATATCTTTAAAATAACAAAATCAATTTTTGAGTAACAACCAACCATGTTAATAACCAGGGCCATAACTTAAGACATTTTCTTGCATACAGATTATTTGATGATGCTTATGATGTAGCTCGAAGATGAGTAAATTCTTTTCAGGTCATTCTAGAATCCGTAAGTATTTTCCCATGTAATATGCCTTAGGGAAAAACTAGCTCCTGAATAGTTGACAGCATCTTTTCCCTCCATCCCGAAGGGCCTCTATAACTTTGTCATTTCGGAGGGTGAAGATGAAAGGGTTGAGGAAAGGAGTAACTACTGAAAGCAACAAGGAAACAGCCCTGTTGTACTCAGCTGCCTGCATTTGCTTGGGTTTCATACAAAGGAACAGGCAGCTGCCGTAGCCGATCACAACACAAGTGAAGTGGGAGGCACATGTAGAGAAGGCTTTCCTCCGGCCAGAGGCTGAGGGGATCTTGAGGATGGTGGAGATGACGTAGGTGTAGGAGACAATTGTAGGGATCAAAGAACCAAAAAGAACAAAAACAGCCATTAAGAAGAGGATAAACTCCATGAAAAGAGTGTTATTGCAGGATAGTTTGAGCAATTGCCCTCGGTCACAGGAAAAACTGTTCACCACATTTGATTTGCAGAAGGAAAGATGAAATGTGGCATAAACTGGCCAAATTTGAAAAAGGAACCCAAAGACCCACGACACAATTACCACAAAGTTGCAGGTGCGGCTGTTCACAATGATGTTGTACCTCAGAGGGTTGCAGACTGCCACATAACGGTCCACAGCCATCGCTCCCAGTAATACAAACTCCGTGGTCCCCACAGAAAGATACAGGAAGAGCTGGGTGACACATGCAGTCAGAGATATTGTCTGCATCCCAGGGAGCAGCAACCCCCAGAGCATCACGGGGACGATAATGGATGTCACCAGGATCTCAAGGCAGAGAGGTGGCCAAGGAAGAAATACATGGGGGACTTCAGACGTTTATCAACACAGACAATCACAATGATGACTGTATTTCCCATTAATGTCACTGAGTAGAGGAAAAAGAATATAGCAAACAAAATGTGACGTAGTTCTTCGGAGCCAGGGAAGCCAAGGAGATAAAATTCAGTAGCACTAGACTGATTCCCCAACATTTAGTTCTGAGCTCTTGTTCCTTGTGAAATCTAGAGAGCAAAGGAGAGATGACATGTTTCTGATCTCAAAAAGATTGAAGACATTTCCAATACGAGAAAATATATCCTGTTCCTAGACTCCACAACATAATGCTACTATTTTCTATACAAGGTGGGTATTAAATGCTTTATGAAGGTTATGTACAATATATCAAGATAAATGTATATGTCTAAGAAGATGAGCAATAGTCACCAATAACACACCCTACGCATGAAAACCCACCCACACCAGCATGTCCCTTTGTCTCTCAATTCACAGGACATCCTGCCACCCTGTCTACTTCCCTGACCACAATATGCTCATTTATACCACCACCCCCTATTTCCTGAATGCAGTAAACTGTCTTCTGTGCCCATTATGTCCGTGTCCTGTAAAATTCTGCTATGTTTCAACAGTTATAAGAAAGTACTCCGAGCCACCCCCATTCAGACATGGTTACTTCTTTTCTTTTTTCTTCTAAACATAGGCTCCATTTGTATTATGTTCATTTTAAAGTTTTTGCCTCAGTTATATTTATCATTTTGGTGGTGTTCCTAGGAAGTGGGGTCTTACCAGGACATTGTGATAAGATAAGAACTATGTGAGACAAAGTATTGAGTCTTTCCTTGACTTCTGGGGAGCTGGCTTCCTGGAATGGGTTATTCACTTCTTCCTCCTTATTTTTATCATAAAAGCCATCTTCCACCTCTGATTTCAGTGAATGTGTCTCCTCCAAGCAGGAAGACCTTTCACCAGATCCCTGTTGGTGACTTCTAGCTCTGATGTTGTGATTCCTTTTGTCATCAGATGGCAGCAGAGAGGCAAGGTCCAGAAGAAACTGCTATCTGTACTGCATGATCTCTGCCCTGGAGACAGGAGTCAAGAAAACAGCTTCAATATGGAGGCAAAATCCTCTATACTACCCAGGTCTCAAATCTCTAGTTATAGCAGGGAGATAAGACCTCCAAATGGGCAGTCTGACCATCTAACCAAACTGCCGTGATCTCAGTCCCATAGAGCAAATTGGAAAATTCCAAAGAGCATATCTGCTTGCCTATGACCTTCTATTTTCTCCAGAGTCCTAGGGTAAGCACAAATGTTAGCAGACACCAAAATAGATGAGACTGAGTTCCCTAGGTTGTCTGGTCTCTTCCCTCATCACACGCAGGTCATTGCTAAAATCTCTCCTCTTATTTGGCCCTGTCCCATTCACCATCTCTGAAACAATACATGCACAATTTCACTCTCTAACCTCTTCATGGTTATATTTTTCTTCCTATTGGCTCTCATCAATATCTCAAATCATATTATACTTTACTTGTTTATTAATTTCTCATAAAAATCACACATTAGAATCAAGTACCTTGAAGGCAAGTTCTTTATCTTTCTTGTATCACCACCTGTGACAGGAAAAGAGTCTGACAAGGTATGTACACTATAAATACATATTTTTTTTAAAGAGTAGGATACTTTTTTTTTTAAAGATTGGCACCTGAGCTAACAACTGTTGCCTATCTTTTTTTTAAATCCTTCTCCCCAAAGCACCCCAGTACTTAGTTGTAGATTCTACTTGTGTGGGGCGCCACCTCAGCATGGCCTGGTGATTAGTGCCATGTCCGTGCCCGGGATCTGAACTAGTGAAACCCTGGGCCGTCGAAGCAGAGTGTGTGCACTTAACCAGTCAGCTACAGGGCCAGCCCCTGCTATAAAAATTTTCAAATGAAGATGTCAATTAATATTAAAAAACAAATCTATGAATAAACAAAGAGCATCCAACCTGACTACTTTTCCCTCCATTCACTCTTCTCGAAAGCCCAGTCACCCTGCAGTCTCTCTTCCTGGAAATCTCCTACAAAATGGAAAGCAGATATAAGGAAGCAATGAAGAGAAATGAGAGAGCAGAGTCTTAGGCAATGGCAAAGTGTGCCTATTGCCAGCACTGGGCATCCTTAAACTGCTCTTTGCTATGAAGGGATGATATGATGTAAGCTCATCTTCTCTGCAGATCCCTAGTCCATTCTTTAGGCTCTCGGGATCCTTGTTCTAGAAGGGAACCATGCCCAGTCCCTCCTATGACTATGCTCTCCTACTCTCTCCTTCACCAAGATCTGGAAGACACTTACCTCCAGAGAATGGTTCTGCACCTGAAAGTTCTGTTGCTCTTCAGGCATCAATCCAGGCCACCTTCTGCCTGGATAGTACAGAACCCTGCCTGGGAGATAGCAGCAGCTCCTGCTGTATCCACTCATAGTGAAGAACACTGTCCACACACAGGATCCTAGGGAAAAGTCCAGAAATAACAGTACTGAGGGAAATCCAGATGTCTCCCTCTCTCTCAATCTCTCTGCTTCCTTCTCTCTCTCTCTTATCTGTCCCCTAGGATAGTTATACACTGAGGAACAATTTGCACAGGTTCAGAGACACACTAGGGATGTAGCCAAGGAAAAGCTGAAGAAACTTTCACTCTTCCCTCCTGAGGCTAATCAAGTTCTAGAACATGGGAAAGTTTTATGCAATGGGCAAACTTGAAAGCTCCTAGTCGGGAGTTTCTCACCAGCCAGGCTGCCTTCCTCCTAGGCTCTTACCTATCACAACAATCCAAGCTGTGAATAGTCAACCCCCTCATCTGCTCTGTGCTTCTTCTTGATTCCACTTAACCCTGCAGAGCCTAAGCTGCCCTCAAGCTGACGACCCCACTAATGGCCCCAAGACACATATGGAAAACCTGGAGGCCACTAAATAGACTTATGCCAAAATTTTCTCTTCATCTCCAAGGTTTCAGGAAGCCCATCTTTCCCAGATGATCTCTGCACTCGCTCTACCACATACCCTCTGGCCATAGTTATAGAAACCTGGTAAGAGAGAAACAGAGAGCTCTGCCACCTACTCCAACCTCGTGGTCTGTTAATACCACAGCCCATTCCAGTCTCTCCAACATGCCTGCTTTCCAACTATGGCTGTTCAGCCATACATTTCTCTTCTTGGTCTTCAAATGCTACCAGAGCACTTTCTGTAGTTGTTTGAATTGAGAGGTAATAGTTGAAGAAACAATATTCAGGACTGAGCAAAAAAAATACTACTTGAAATTGAGAATGGCTGAGATACCGAGTAAAATAGAAACATCATATTTGAAATATTTATTTTTACTTTTTGAAGAACAACTGACACGTTTTACAAAATTAACATAGGTCATGACTTAAAAAACAAATGGAAGGATATAAGGTAAAATGTAAATATGCCTTTCCCCATCTGCTTAATTCTCCTGATCTGTCTCCTAGAGCTAAATGTTATCATAAATTTCTAGTGTATCCATTCAAAAGTTTTCTGTGTACATACATGAATATCTCCATATATTCTTTTTAAGTAAATGATATTTTAATAGATATACTTTCCTGCTACCTTCTTCTTAATATGTACAAAATATATACTTTATATTTGTGTATATGCATGCTTGTGTGTATATGTTAAACCTTTCCATATTAGCAATTATATATCAATCACATTTAAGTGATTGCTTAATAAATATTTACTTTATGAATATATTGATCATTTACTTAATGAGTATGCTGATGAATATTTCATTTTTTTCTTTTTCATTTCTATAGTGCTACTACAATAAATATCCTCACATGTCTATAAATACAAGTATATCTTTTTAATTGTATTAAATTATTAACTGTTACCAAATCGCTCTCAAAGGAGTTGCATCAATTTCTAACCTCTTGACGTGAGATCATATCGGGACTATCCCCAAAGCCTCCGGGCAGGATGTTTCGATTTCGGTGTTAACCTTGTGCGGATCCTCCAATGACACTGACATATCAGGAGTCAGTAATCACGCTGTGAAGTAAGAACACATCCCAAAGGTCCAGCCCTATGGGAACTGTGCTGACAGCTGCCCAGGATGCTGCCGTCCTACCATCTGCCTGTCAGCTCTGAGCAGCTGTGTTGGGTCATGTGATGACTGTTGGAGAAATCTGAAGAAAGGGTGCTGGAAATGAGGAAATCAGAGGAGGGTAGACCCTTTCTCTTAGAACTCTTTTTACAGAACTATCTTCCCTTCTTCAAGGCATGGTACAGTTTCTCTACATACTTTCCAGTATTATCAACTACACATTGACAGAGTAGAAAATGGAGGAGGAGGAAGAAATGTAAAATAAAACTCCTTTGGAAAAATTTTTGCTCATTTTTCACAAACTTAAACATACATCTACACTATTTCCAGCAATTCTACTCATAGGTAGTTGCCTACAAAAATGAAAACATACCCTCATGAGTAGTTCCACTGTAATGTTCATAGTGTCTTTATTTATTATAGCTAATAATGACAGAAAATAAGTATCCATCAACAAGAGAATGGTATATTCATATGAGGAAATAGTACTCAGCAAAGAAAAGGAACAAACTGCTGATATACACAAAATGGGTGAATCTCAGATACAATAAAATGAATGAAAAGGTCAGACACCAAAGAATGCATACCATACGACACTATCATAAAACACTAGAATAGATAAAAATAATCTGTAGTTAAGAAACCGCCCCCCCCCCCAAAAAAAGGAAAAGAAACCCCAAGAATGATTGTCTCAGTGCTGGGGAGATATGGGCCAGGAGTTTTCAACCACAATTGAGTTTATGTTAATGAGGTGACTTGGAAATCCCCTAAAGATGGGGGTGCTGGTTGCCAGAGGCATCAACCATGATTAGAGGGTTGGAACTTTCAGTGACATCCCTGATTTCTGGGGAGACGAAAAAGGACTGGAGATTGAATCAATCACCAGTAGCCAATGATTTAATCAATCACTCTTACGTAATGAAGCCTCCATAAAAACTCAAATGGAGGGAGTTTGGAAACCTTCCAGGTTGGTGAACATGTAGAGATTCAGAGAGAGTGATATCCTCAGAGAGCATGGAATCTCCACACCCTTTCCCACATACATTGTCCTACACACCTCTTCTATCTGGCTGTCCCTGAATTATATCCTTTTAAAATAAACTGGTAATATAGTAAGTAAAATCCTTTTCTAAGTTCTGTGGACTGCTCTAGCAAATTAACTGAACCCAAGGAGGGGGCCATGGGAACCTCTAATCTATAGCCAGTTGGTCAGAAACACAGGTAACAACCTGGACTTGAACTGGTATCTGAACTGAAGGCAGTTCTGTGGGATTGAGCCCTTAACCTGTGGAATCTGACACCACCTCCAGGTAGAAGTGTCAGAATTCAGTTAAATTTGAGGGACATCTTGTCAGTGTCAATGGATAACTGAGCTAATTGTCTGGGGTGTTAAAAAGCATATACACACACATTAAAATTGATGTCAGAACCATTACTTTCCCCGAGCAGAAGTTTTTAATTTTAATGTAGTCCAACTTTTCTATTTTTTTCTTTCAAGAATCATGCTTTTGATGTTGTATTTAAAAAATATTCATGAAACCTAAGGTCATCTAATTTTCTTTTATGTTATATTCTGAAATTTTGTAGTTTTGCATTTTACATTTAGGTCTATGATCCAATTTGAGTCTATTTTTACGAAAAGTATAAGTAAGGTCTGTGTCCAGATATTTTTGTTTGTTTGCATGTGGATCTCCAGTTGTTACGGCCCCATTTTCCTAAAAGACTATCCTTTAAAAAAAAAAAAAAAAAAAAAAAAAAGACTATCCTTTCTCCATTGAATTGCCTTTGTTCCTTGTCAAAAATCAGTTGATGATATGCGTGGGTCTGTTTCTTAGCTTTCTAATCTGTTCCACCAATATATTTCTCTACTATTTCACCAATAACACACTGTATTGATAACCACAGCTTTATAATGAGTCTTGAAGTCGAGTGGTGTCAGTACTTTGACTTTCTTCTTCTTCAGGATTGTATTGACTATTCTGCATCTTTCACCACTCCATATAAAAGCTAGCATCAGTTTGTCAATATCCACAAAATAAATTATGGGGATTTTGATTGAGATTGCATTGAATCCATAGATGAAGCTGGGAAGAACTGACATCTTAATAATACTAAGTTTTCCTATTGATGAACATGGGATATTTCTCCATTTATTTATATCTCCTTTTATTTCTTTCATCAGAGTTTTGTAGTTTTCCTCATATGTATCTTTCACCAATTTTGTTAGGTTTATACTTAAATTTTTTTGGTGCTAATGTAAACAGTGTTATTCTTTTAATTTC